ACTCGTCGCTTACCATTGCGACTCTACTCGAGGGCCTGGAGCGCGATATCTTTCGACGGCCTCCTGAATGATGAATGCCCTATCCACCTCCATCTTCTACATATTTGTTGAACGGTCGGCTCTTGGTTGGAGTGTTCACAGACAGAGCTTCTTCCCGCTAATTCTTTCTGGCTGGCCGACCGGCCATTTGATCTTCAGTATGCAGCCAGCCAGTAAACCAGAGAAGACAGCAGCTGTTGATAAAAGTCTACAGTGGTGTGTTGGAAATCCTTTCCGTGACACTCAGTGCAAGTTTCTGACCCGTATGGAAGAGATGACTGATTGACTTCATTGACATTTGTGTTGAAAATCCGATTCTTGTTCTTCATACTGAAGCGGAGTGCAGAAGCTTTCCAAACTGGTTTCAAGTTGATAAAGGGGTGTGTATCTTGCCTTTCTGATTCTGGCTGGTTGGCTGGCTGATTTTGACATCTTCATCCGTTCCGAATTATTGAGGTTGAAACGATTCTTCCTGGTTGTATAAGTGAAGGAGGTGACCTCTGTCAAATCTCACCTGTTGGTGGTGATTGATTCTGGTTGTTGTTTCTGTTGTTTGGTTGTCTTCATCACCTTCGTCTCCTGAATGTTAACCTTGATGGCGTCATGTCTTCGCTGACTGCTTGCTTCTTAAACCAGTTTGTTGATTTTCGTCAACCTGTAAGTCTTTGAGTTTGTGTGACATTTGACATCCATACGCGAAATTCGGATCTTCTAGAGTCTTATTGTCGGTGGTCCAGCGTACTCTTGTCTCCTCGTTCCCCACAGTCTGACGCCTGGTCCAGTTCACCAAAATTAAAAATATGATCAATAAGAAACAACACTGTCTTACTCCTGTGTTCACTCTGAACGCTTCGCTTAGTTTCCACTTATAGACTTTCAGTGCCTCAGTATAACGCATCACTGAGTAGCACTTTCAAATTATAATTAAGAGGAATCCATCCCGTGTTTACTGAGATGGTTAGGACATGTGTTACGTATGCCAAGCCATCGCCTCCCTCGACGAGCAATGTTAGCTGATATAGGGTTAGGCTGGAAGAAAGCTAGCGGCGGTCAAACAAAACCTTGGCATCAGTCAATGAAATCCACAACAGTTGGTCTAAGCCACGTAGAAAGGTGTAGACTTCCCGGTTGGGGTCCTCGGGACGGTAACAATCTATGGTTGGAAACAATTGGTGACATGGCTCAAAACCGTTCCTAGTGGCGCAGATGCATCCACTCCTTGTGACTTATGATCTCCAATGAAACTGTTTTGTTTTTCTTTATTACTCCTTTGTCTCACATCTCTGCTCACTGTCTCTAGTATGCTTTTCTTGTACTTTCTTCTCTTGCTTCGCGTGCTACACGGAATGTGGCGACTTGAACTTCCGTACATTTGTGCAAAGTTCTATGTCGAAAACAGACAGACAGACAGACATCCCGTGTTTACTGACTGGATGATAATTTAGAGTAAAGGGAGAGTATTTCGTTTATGCATTACCAACTAAATATATCTCCATTCTAGTGAGGGATGTCTCATATACCTTACATACTTTATCAAACTTCAAAAGCATAATGTACAGTATAATACGGTTAGATCACGATCTCATATCAGTTAGAGAGCCCCGGAAAGACCGGGGATTACTGGCCAATTTTTTCGCCATAATTTGTCAGCTCCTCAACAAAAGGCAGCCACCGGGATTCAAAGCCAGGACACTTATGGCTGCAAAACAAACTCATTGAGCATTCAGCCACTAAGAACCGAGTCAATGACGCATGAAATGCAATTACTGCTAATTCGCGATATATATATATATAACGCAGCTGCCAACCAAATGTCATAGACCTGCAATTGGTATCTTGCCAACTGTTTCATTATTGTCTATAACGATTGATTTCAAATGCTATTATACATAATCACCTTTTTTATTCATGTAAATAAACAATGTTGTTATGGTACAGCGTGAATATTGTTAACAGGTGAAACTGATCAGTTGTATAACAACTCCCTGCAGTTACATGTGTGTATGTGTGTGTGTCTGTATATGCGTTTATTAACTGATCTTCCTAATCAACGCATTTATCGGTTGTGAGAAATGCAAATGAAAGTTCTGAAAGCAAAAAAAAACTGTTCACTCACACTCACTCACTCACTTGTAGCGCATGTTCACTGTCACCTTTTTTTTGATTGCATGGAGGATTTAATCATGAGCTGACATCAGTTAGAGAACCACTGGAAAACCTAGGAGTACTGGACAGCTTTTTTTTCTTTTTCTGGTTCTTCTCCTGCTCTTCCTCCATCTATATTGAATAACTTTAGTCAATGAGTCTAAGTTAAAAAAAAATAAATATGTCAGTCACTTGTTTGATACAAACGAAAAAAAATAAAGCGAACAAACATACAAACAGAGGGAGTGAGAGAAAGAAATAGTTTTGTTGTTCTGAAAGCATCCACCTAGGCATATATATATATTGTCGCTCAGTAATGACATAGTATGCATATAATATAATGCTGATGAAAGTTTTTTTTACATTCTCTTCCACTCACAACGAAATAACAGCAACAATAACAAGAATAATGATAACAATAGTTAATAGTAATAATAATAATAATAATCAACGCTTTAAAATGTAACTAGAATAAAGAAAAAAACTATTAATGGCGTCTGCTTTATTTATTTTTTCAGAAATAAACACAACACATCAATCATTATGATTATCAGTTGTTAATATAACACTATTGAAAAAAATGTCCAATGTTCAATGTTCAATTGCTGATACTTGCGCTTAGATATTTTGCACATATATTGTTGTTGGTACAGGATTTTTGTAATCCTTATTCATCTAGTTTATTTATTGTATGTAAGCACTGAATGCACACATAATCTTCAGGGATTCTCTAATCTCTGTTGAATGTGCAGTTCCATCTACACTTTTGGAGTTTACATATTTTTTAAAAAAAAGAATTTATATAATGCAATACTTCTATAGTTGGCGTATTTTATGGCAGGGTTTTTCACAACTATGCTGTCGTTGTTTTTATTATTTATTGTGTTCCTTTATGTTCCTGATTATGGAAGACTGAATCTTTTTTTCCTTCACGTTCCCAGTGGAACATAGGGCTTCCAGCTAGTGGTCTGAAGTTTCTGTAGCAGTGTTTATTTTTACAGAATGGGGTTGCTAGCCTCATGCCCAACCTTTCTTCTTTACCAGCATTATTTCTGACTCAGCGAGTTAAAGGAAGAGTGCATCGGCCGGGGATCGAACCCTGGACCATGTGCATGGTCGGCAAGCGTCCTAACCGCTGTGCGATCGATGCTGGTAGACTGAATACTGCGACAGAAACGTAGTGAACCGGTCAATGAGGAGACAGGCATTAAATGGACCTACATAGAATACTTGGAGGATGTCGACTTCGCCGATGATATTTGTCTGATTTCCCACAAACTGGAAGATACGCCACTGAAAAGCAACAAGTTGTCAGAATAAACATCAAGAGAAGGTAGAACGTCAGGTGAACATAGAGAAAACAGAGGTAGCTGATGAAGATTCCTGGCCTACAGCAACAGACAACAATCAGCATAAGTAGGAGGAATCTGAAAGAAGCAACCATCTACCGACCTGGAAAGCATGTTTTCAACTACAGACAGACAGAACTGATGAGGATATCAATGCAAGGATCGGGAAAGCGAGTCAAGGTTTAATTTTCCTCAAGTTCATGTGGAGGTCAACAGCACTCATTAGCATAAAAAACAAGATTGGGATTTTTAACTCCAATATGAAGTCAGTGCTACTCGCTATGCGGAACAGGGACTTGCCGCGGTGTCGCGAAGGGCACTTCAAACAAAATACACACCTTCATCAACAGCTTTCTTTGCTCAAGACTCAAGATCAGATGGCCAGTCAGAGAGGATCAACAACAGCGATCTCTGGCGATCAACGAACCAACCCATCAGAAACCGATTGTGCAACAAATATGTAGGAAGAAATGGAGGTGGATTGGATTGGCCATACTGTGAGGAAACTATTGAGTGACATCAAACGCCAGGCCATCGCTTGAATGGAACCCAAATCGAAAGCGGAGGATTGGTCGTCAGTGCGGGGGAGACATGGAGGAAGAGGTCATGGGGAAAGGAGAAGACAACATGTGGTCAGACGTGGAGCCAGGTGGAAACGTTGGCAGAGAATCGAACGCAATGCAGACGTGTGGCTGAAGCCGTATGTTCCTCTACGAACTAAAGGAAACTATAATAACAATGTTCCTAATGGAACATAGGACTTCAAGCGAGAGCTTTGAAGTTTTGGCAGCGGTGGAGTTTATTTTTACAGGATGGGTTGCTAGCCTCGTGCTCATTCTTCCCTCTTTACCAGCCTTATTGTTGGATTAGTGAGGTAATGAAGTGCGCCGGCCGGAGATCGAACCCCGAACCACATGTGTAGTTGGTGAGCATTTTACTGCTGGGCTACTGGCGTGCCTTATTATCGTTAATTTTGTTTGAACTTGTATCAAAAAATATACTGAAGAGTGGTTAACCACACATATTTTATAAACCTCTGGTTTTTTTCATTACTATTCCTTCAAAGCTTTCCTTGTGGTATATAAGGCTTCAAGAGCGCATCTGCATTTTACTTGTTTCCCTGGCATAACTTTTCAACTGACGCCAACACTGCCTACAAGCTTTCATTTTCGCCTAACAAGTTTCTCTCTCTCTCTCTCCATGAGACCCTCAGACATCCGACTCATCTCTTCGCATTCCTGTTTTCAGAGTACCATCTTGCTTAACAGTTTATACATTATTTAAATACAGAGCGATATACACAATAAATCACTGCAGTGTGAATAAAATCCTATTACAGCAATAAGACACTGAATGATGATAGCGTTGATGAGATGATGTCAAAATATTTGTGACTACAGTGTTAGTTACATGGTGGAAAATGAATATGTCATTTTGTTTATAATAACTTTTACTTTTCTTTTCTAGTCATGGATGGGTGAGATCAATGCAAATCTACAATCAAACAGCATACTACTTGTATTAGTAGCAAATAAACTGGATGAAGAAAAAAGTCGTGTAGTTTTACGGAAAGAAGGCGAACGTCTAGCGAAGGTTTGTTTTCAGTTAGCATAACTATTTCCTAAAGTCTTTTTTTTTTAAGTCAAATGCTGTGGTCTGTTTTTAGGTGCATAACAAGCATCTAGACTTTCATCGCCTCCTCATGCTATTTTTTGTCTATGTCATCCTCGGACGGCCAACTCGTGTTGCGACTCGATTGGGAAATTACTGTTTGGGTGTTGGTCTAAGGGTGATATGGAAGAGATCGTTTGGTGAGGAGGGGATAAGAGCCTATTGGGCAATCATGGGATCAGGTGAAGAGGACTTCAGAGAACCGGTAAAAAAGGAGATGTGTTGTGGAAGTTCTATGTTCCACTTGGAACCAGAGAGAATAATAATAAGCAATTGTATACCAAATTGAGATAGTAACAGTGTGTAAATCTGTGCTTTCCGTAGTTCACATTATAACAAATCCAGTATTAGAAATAAAGGAAACATATATTTAGATTCGCAACTTCTTATATCAGTCAGTTAGAAGTATATAGCACCATGCCAGTAACTGTTAACACGTTCGCCTAGTATTCTGAAGGTAATGAGTATTGAGTCCCTGTCGAGGGTTAGAAGGTTAGGCGCTACTAGAAACTCCTGGCCAGTGGCTAAATACTAGGTACATTTCATGATGAATTTGTCGTTTCGACCACGAACTGGCACGAGTCAGAGAACCATCTGAGAATCAGGAGGGAGTGTCACACATCTGTTTAACCATAGCTTTGTGCTCTTCGGCAGTACGAAGCTAGAACTCAGGACCTTCCGGTTACAAGGCAAACCAGTGGGACTCGATCCAATGACCGATAAATTCTAACGTCTGCCAATTTTACAATGAATTTGTTGATTGGTGTTTCTGTTAATTGTGCATATATAATTTTTTGAAAAGTTCAACTGAAACCTGGTAATAATTAATTAATAATAAATAAAGCGTATGTCAACCAGTGTGTAATTTAGCTCAAAGACTGGCCTATCATTCGCTAACTCTTGAAATCTAATCGTAGGTAAAGTAGTTTCAAACAGAAGTAATGTATGCATTTATTTAAGTCTAGCCTGGATTCGTCTGACCACAGAAAACTGGATTAGTTAATCTGGTTCTCAGATATAGTCATGCAATCTTGCTATACAGTAAAATACATTGATAAATGAAAAAAAGAACACATAAAATGCATTTTTAGTCGTCCAGAATTACCTACCCAGATATATGTAGACCGTTATCGGTAGACGAGTTTCATAGTTCACTTGATCCTATATTTGGCTTTGCAATTTACTTACAATATCTTTTGTTTGAGAATGCTTGGGAGAATGCTTGGAATTACAAACCGGAGTAAATAGGTTTTTTTTTCAACCAACCACTACTGAACCCTTTTGATTCCGAGTTAAATGATGGCAGGATACCTACTGGAGACGGATATCACACCGCTTGATATGTTTAAATTCTGCAGTATATGCTCGCCATTGGTTTAGAATACTTTGAACCGATGATAAAGCTGTAGAAGATCTGAATTTCGAGGATGATTTACGCCTAGTGTCATACAAACTCAAAGATCTACAAAGGAAACCCACAAATTTATCAGAAGAAGCAGGCAGTAAACACAGGACTTCAATTGAAAATACAAAATGACAGAGGTGACGAAAGTAATTTATCAACAACATTAGAAAAAAAAAGTTAAAAGACGTCACTTCCTTCACTTATCTAGACAGCATCCCTGTCAAAGTCAGGATCGGAAAAACAGCGCACACCTTTATCACTCTGAAAGCAATTGAGAAATCTTTTGCATTCTACAGCATAAACAATAAAAAGGGAATTTTCAGTACCAATGTTATGTCAGTCAGTTCTACTATATGGATCAGATACTTGGCTTGTGTGTGTGTCATCAAAAGCCTTTCCAACAACCAGCTGCAGACTGCTATCAACAACTGCCTTCACTGGCTCCATACTGAAGATCAGATAGCCTGTTAGAATCAACAGACAAGCGATAAGAAACTCTAGTAACAAATCAATTGAGAACCTATTGGTCAATAAATATGTAGGAGAAAATGCAGATGGATCGGGCTCACATTGAACAGACTGTCAGATAAAATCGCGCGTAAGCCAGACTATCGCTCGAGTGGAAGTCTAGTGGGAAATGATTAGTTGACATCCAAGGGCGCTATGGAGTAAATCGTTTTGTGGGGGGAAGAGATGACAATGTCTATTGGCAATTGTGGGGCCTGCTACTAAAGGGAACCGCAGAGAATAGGAGAAAAATGGGGATGTGTTGCTGAAGCCCTCTCTGTCCCACTCAAAACTCAATGGGAACAATAATACAATAAATGATAATTAATTTAGAATCGGAGTTATTCAACCGCTTAGAGTAAAACATCCGTTAACAATGTTACTCCAACCATTAAAAAAAAATATTCTTAACTACTTTAAATGAATAAATACTTCGTCTGCTGAATATTATTAGAAAATATGTATGAAAGGTGAAGCTGGAGATACATGCGATTAAGATGAACTCGATAAAAGTCAGGAATAAAAAAAGCAACTGAGAGAAATCCAATCTACTCATAAGCAGTATCAAACTTTCTGTGATGATAAAAAAGATTGTAGGAAAATCGAAGTAAGCGGGAAAACACAGATGATTGTTAGTAAAAGTTAAAGTGAAGCTAGTTTCTGGACAAACAGAGAGAGAGAGAGAGAAAGAGGCAGTAAATTTTGACTAATTTAGCGGATACATACTATATACATAATTTTCAATAGCTCTTTTTAAAAACATATGCATGGGTATTATTTTTGGAAAATCATGAGTCTAGGTAGCGTAATCGAAAGTGATTAAAGCAAACAAGATTAGTTCCCCCTTTTTTTTCTAAAAAAAAATAAAGTTCCCAAAGCAGCGTTAAAATTCGTTGCAAATGTTAGAAAACTATGCATTGTAAAAAACGATTTTATGCTAGAAGCTTTCAAGACTCAAATATGAAACGAAATGAAATGATTACATTGCCAAATTTTTAGTAACACAATATTTTGCAGTGAGTGAGTTTTAGTTGGTTCAAATGTTTACAGTTCATTTATTGCTATTTTGTCTGAATTCTGTCGTAACTTCGATTCAATCAATTAACATTTTTACGTGTTGTTGTTGTTTCTACTAAGCTGAAACTCCTGAAATGTTGAGTTTTTGAAGTGTGATGTGACGTAATCCACCTTTAATCTTCTGAATTTTCATGCCATCTGTCTAACCTGTAAACAACTCAGTCGCATTTGTCATTTATCTTACTTCCAGCTACAACGCCCTAGTCTGCTTTTTTTTTAAAAACTGCGTTACATGCTTGTTTCATCAATCAGTCATTTCATGAAATGTAGAAAAGAGTGAATGATGTGCATCGTGTTTAACCAGTGATGTTATGTCATGGGTTGGTGGTATATGTGGCTGAAATACACTTTATAAATAATCATATCGGCCTCGACTCTGTCGAACAAATAAGCAGAGTTGAGATTGTTGTAGATGTTCTATCTATTTGGTCAGTATTCCCAGAAGTTATCGATTCTAATAGAGTTACTGCACAGTTCTTCTTCCTGCCGTTATTTTGAAATTCAAAAACTATTCATTAATTTTTTGATTATAGCTTGATTCCACATCGTTTTTTGGTACAAGTATGAAGTTTTCAGCATGTGATATTGGTAGCCCCATTCGGCAGACCGACATTTGATATCGAATGTGCGTCGGTAAGGGATCGAACCCCGGACCATATGCATAGTCGGCGAGAGTCCTAACCGCTGTGCCACCGACGCTATCATCAGTTGGATTTGACCAAAAGAATCATATCTTTCATAGTGTGTAGACTACATCGGTAATAGGGTTTACGCCAAAGATTTTAATGAATTGATTATTGCTCTTTGAGCACTGGCGATTTTTGATACGTTCTTTTAACCCTTATTTACTTAATTATACTGTAGAATGAGGCAAAAGGAGTTGTGCCTTTTGTTGTAATTAAAGCTTATGCAATTTGTGTGTACCTACAGCGATTTTCTAGATATAATCTGCAGTTAAGTACAATACTGTGCAAGTTATTTTGATGAAGTATTTACGGTGCGTCGGTGGCACAGCGGTTAGGACGCTCACCGACCATGCACATGGTCCGGGGTTCGATCCCCAGCCGACACACTCCTTTACCTCACTCAACCAGCTGCAGGAACTTCAAGCCACCAGCCTGAAGCCCTATGTTCCACTGGGAACGTGAAGGAAAAAAAACTCACGTTCTAGGATTTATGAATAAATACATACTTCAGTATTTCGGTGAAGTGAAGTAATACTGTGGTGAGAGCTGGCTGCTAGCCAAAATTGGTAGACAGTAATTCACATCAATGTTTACGTCCCCAGTATTGGTCATGAGAGAAAAAAGCCTATAAATATGTGTTAATTTCCTTAATTAACGATCTGTTGCCTGGCCCTTGTCTTCTGTTGTGACATTTGGTGTCGCTGCCTACCGAAAAATGGAAAGCCTATGCCCAGCAGTTTTTGATGGAGACATATGAATCTTCGAGGCTTCTGCGTAGTTAAGTGGCGTTCAAGATCTGTCAGCGATGAGGTTGTTACTTGGGACGTTGCTGGGAGGTCGGGAGAAAGCAGCATATGAAAGTGTGAGGCGATATACTGACGAATGTGCGACAGGGTCAGGCAAACAGTTTCCAAAGTGGGAAGGACCACATATAGTCACTTTGACATGGGGTTGCACAGACAGAATCTCAACGGAAAACAAAGAGAAGCAGTTGAACATCAACGAGTGCCGAGATTCCAGACAGCAAGACAAACGAGCAAAGTCCCTAGAACCAAGAAGACTGAACCAACTTCAGTCGCAAGTCTTTGACCGGGGGACGAGTGTGGGGAGAGCTGGTTGCTAGCCGAAATTGTTAGACAGTGATTTACATCAATGTTTATGTCCCCAATATTGGTCGTGAGAAAAATGAGAACAAAGGCTTTGTGTAGGCGGATACAGTTAACATATAGGTGATATGACATTCAAGGAACAGCCACAAAGAGATGCAAGGTTAACTTTCAGTGAGAAACAACCAATCAGAATACTGTATTTTTCTATTAAGTATAATCTATAATAATGTACGTGAAAATCTATAAAAAAAATGTATTGATTTCCTTAATAAACGATCTGTTTCTTGGCCCTTGTCTTCTGTTGTTACAATACTGGATTGATGATTTTATGGCTTCTTCTTGTTGTAGAAGCATTCATGTGGTCTAGTTTTCGATCCACGGTAGACGCACTCATAAACCTCACTAAGCCGGTAGTTAGACCGATAGAGAGGCAAGGTTAGGTATGCGGCTAGCAACCCCACCTCTTAAATTTAAAATCACAGATAATGAATCTTCTAAGCGCAAGCCCGCAGTCCTACGTTCAAATAATAATAATAAAGGTTACCTAATAATCTCTTAAAAGAGTGCATAGGTGGTCTGAACAGCATAGTAGTGAAATGGTTAATTTTGCCCCTTAGTGACACTGAATTAAAATGATGTTGATTTCCCTTAAGATTATGCGTGACGCTCAGCTAATGAGCGTCATTAGGCAAAAAATCTACGTCCACTGTTTCCAGCCGATGGACTCTTCCAAATATCTCTAACTTTTTTGTCCTATAAAAATGCTAGAAATGACTAGTAGATATTCCCTACCCCTCTGGTTATAACTGACTTCTTAAAGGGTCTAAGTGTAATTCTATTTGAATTTGGCTTGATGATAACTATATATATATATATATATATATATATATATATATATATATATATATATATATATATACGTTTGAGGTTCGATCCCAAGCCAGTGCACTCCCAAACATTGCTTAACCGCTAGTAATACAGGTAAGTCGGGAAGATTGGTTGGGATGCTAGCAGCCGCATCTCGCATCCCTTATAATAAAGCTTCAGAGCTCAAACTGAAAGGCATAATTCCCTCTGAAAACACAAAGGGATATAAATTACATGTGTAAACATATAAGTTTTCGTTTTAAAATCAGCCTTTCAATTCGCTGACATTGCTAAATAGTTGAGGCATCAGTTGTTCGTGTTTCAAGTCTGCTGCATGCAATAGTACTATTTTCCTCCCAGTAGGCTTCATACCGAATGTTTATACTCAGCATAATAAGGTTAGTGTGTGGACATTTATCGCCCATGTGTAGCCGTACATAAACAAAAAGCGTAAACAATGTTTTTTAAAGCTCTATCCTAATATTGGTTCTAGTACTGCTATTACTTATTAATTATAAAAGCTTCAACTTTTAGAGCGGTTGACTTCGACCGTGTGAGTAGTCTTAGAAATTAAATCACATGGAACTTCGGAAATGGAGGATTTCGTCTTTCTATGTTCACTTTTCGTTAATAATGAGTGGAACAGTTGATACTTCTGTGTATTCAACGGGCAATTTCTAATACGGACAACTTCCCTCTATTTAGGTAGTACGTAAGTATGGCTTTTGAGCTTGAAAATGAAGTCAGTGAATAAATCTTTGTGGTCTTGTTTTTCTTATGCATGAAATGGCAATCACGTTTACAATTTAAGGAAAGAATAAAAATTCTGATAAGTAATTTGTTGTAAAACTGTCTCAACTCAGCCGAATAACCAGATTTCGTTTATATTTTCTGATTAACTTCGATTCATTCTAATTGCTCTGTTGAAATAAATATTTTGAAAATCACATTTTAAATTTGAAAACATTTTTCTCCTCTAGGAAACGGATGCTTTGTTTTGGGAAACTAGTGCTAAGACAGGCGCAAATGTTGATTCAATGTTTCGGGATATAGCTGAGTAAGACTTTACTTTCATGCATATTTATTCTACTTATCCTCTTGGAAGTACTGATACACAGAATTTCTTTTTATGTGAGTGAGAAATATTTAATTCAGTTTTAGATTTTCTCGTCAACCGATTGAACCGAAGTGCTCGGTCTCAGTTTGACATGTCGGTTTCTTGTACAGATGCTTCGAGGATGCAACTTGAAGTTAATTGGTGGGTGGTGACTAGCAGTGTAATCTAGGATGCGCACTTCGTCCTATTCGGGACTCGTCAACTGGATGCACCTGCATTCCGCAGTGAGTGATGTTGGCCTTTTGAAACTATGGGCACTGGGTTCGAGCCTCAGTGAGAAAGCCGTCACTCACTGTGGAATACAGGTACATCCAGTTGACGAGTCCTAAATAAGATGAAATGCCCATAGTGGATCCCACTGCTAGTCACCATCCACCAATTAACTTCTAGTTTATATGAATGAGAAATAGTTTCTCCTGTGAAACCGTTGACAGTCTCTCAAATATTAATATTTGTTATCCTAAGCAATGGACTAGGATTGCGTTATCCTAAACGGTGTATAGATCAAACTTAGACACCGCAGCCCTTTATACTTTTAATATCTTAGGTCTGTACGTTGATATTAGAAATGATGCGTTCAGTGAAATTCTTCTAATTACCAGTTCTATTAAAAGAAAGCCGAGGTTTGATTGTTCTCAAACAGTTTTCTCCTAAACCTAATTCACTAAGTGATGTTGTCCCTGTATGACATCAACACGTAAACACAATGTTTTATTCCATCATGCGATTCGTTTTTTATTACTGTATTTCTTTTTAACCAGATTATTGTTAAATAAAATAATGTGTTATATAAATGTGTCTGAAAATGCAAACCAGCAACAGGATGTTTTGGCTTCAGTGTGATGTCGTCCAAACCTTTTAAACAACAGTAAACGTTTCGATAGTTAAGAGTTAGATAAATTATATGCAGTATATTCTATTTTGGATTGACGTACAGCAACAGGTTGTTTCCGGCTGGATAGTGATGTCCTCGATGACTATTAAATAATGTCCTGGACAAAACGTTTCTGTACTTTTTATGCGGGCTTGTTCAGCCAAACGCCATCTGTTAACTCTTAATGATTAAAGGCGGAAATATCTTCAAATATCCAGTTTTATGTCTAACTTTGCTATGCTTAACACTGGTAGGGTGATACATGCAAATTCAGTCATCTTTAGCATTTCTCAGCTGATCTACTGAATACATTAAATTCTAAATGGAGTCTGGTAGCGTAAAGCAGTGCTCGCGGATACCAAAAACCACCTAGGGTTGATTCGAAGTATACCGCGATGGTGGGTGATCCAGCTTGGTGGCCATATTACAGGCATGACTGACAGAATTCAGTTATCACTGTCGCAAAGGACTAGAAACATGACATTTGTTACTTCCCAGTGACCTGCCGAGAAATTACATATATATATATATATCGATTTCAGAAGTGATTTAGGACAGTGGTTAGTTGGGTACTCGTCACTATTTAGGTACATACATATGGGTCACTGGATATTAACTACTTCTTCTGTGGAAATGGATAAGGTGATTACAATCCATCGATAAGCTGTGCATTGCCGTATCATTAATTCGGATGATTTATTATTATTATTTCCTTTAATTCCTAGAGGAACATAGGGACTCAGCCGCGCGTCTCCATCGCGTTCTGTTCTCTGCTAGAGTTTTCACCTGGCCCCATGTCTGCCTACACGCTTTCATCTCCTCTTCACATGACTTTAGCAATAGGGTTTCGTAGCCCGGCACCTGGAGCTCCAGGTTACTAAGCAATTTAGTCTGAACGTAGAACTTCTTACAAAAATGTAGCGGTTCAAGATGTCACACACACACACAAAGGTAAAGAGAGAAGAGAAACATTCAGAAGAGGAATAATGCACAGAAATCTACGAGAGAAAGGATATAAACATGGAAAAGTATGAGGATTTAATAGATCTGTGAAATTTCACAGAATGAATGCATCTAAGCCGTTGGGAATAGTTTTGAGTCATATCACTGTAAAACAGTGTAGCAATAGAACACATTAGTATGATATTACTGGCTTTTTTTCTTCTCTCGTATAATTCCCTTGCTATTATTTTTATCCTTCAATATCTTGAGGTCATCACTTTGATGATAAATATAGTCATAAGATTAAAAAAAAATAAGTCTTGCAGAGTAAACAAAAGATACGAATAATCATGGTATGCAGTTAGTTACAGTGTAAAAATTCACCGGGTCATCTATGATCATTTGTACCAATTTGATGATTAAGAATGAAGATCTGACTTGTTTTTTTTGTACAGGAAATAAGGAGTGGGAACAGCTGCTGCTATAATTTCTGATAAATTATTAGGTCAAATTTATTTGCTTGTTCACTGAATAATGCTCACTTGTTCTAAAAATTGTTCCATGTTAAACTTTCGAAAACTCTAACGAATGACTTTCGTGTTTATCATCACTAAAAAGAACTAGTTTCTCGGAGAGGGATATTAGTGAGGAGAGAGAGACAGTGTTTTCAGAGGCATCCTTCTCACCTTGGATACATTGACGTCTATGCAATTAACGATATCATTTTATTCAAGTATTGGTTTGTAGGGATTTGGTTGATTGGTTACAGGATTTCATCATGAGCTGACATCGGTTAGAGAACCATTGAAAAACCTGGGAGTACTGGACAACTGTTTCGTTTTAGTTTGGGACTCTTCAGCAGTAGGCGCGCCCACCGGGATTCGAACCCAGGACCTCCTGGTTACAAGGCCGGCGAGCTAGCTCGTGGACCATTAAGCCACTGGGACTCGATCCAACGGCCAGCCCATGAATTCTAACTTCTGCCAACTCACAACATAGCACAACCTCTAGCCAATGTCTTCGGCGAATATTTGTCCTCACACCCGACCTGCTGCACCCTACTGGTCACGACTTCCCACTGGAACCCCAGGTAACTACCTACCTGAATAGAGCCAGTCGCCAGTAAGCGTCTCATTGATATTCAAGTATTGTTTTGTAGAGATTTGGTTGATTGGTTACAGGATTTCATCATGAGCTGACATTGGTTAGATATCATTTTAGGAAGACTATGTGAATGGGGATTTTATATAACCAGAAGGCTGTAGTTGCTGAAATAATTTAGAGCTAATGATCAATCCATTATTCATCTTCACAAAGATTTATGTTAGCTTTCCTTCTAGTTGTTCAGTTTTTTTTTACATTAAATCAATAGTTCGTTTGTAATTATCACCTTGATGAAACAGATTCTTAACACGCTTACAAATCAAGCGTTAACACTTCATTAACAGCTAGTCATTAGTCGGCTTGTTTCGAATCCTTTCGCGACCTGAATTTTCAATGCATCTTCATTCACATTATTCGATGCATAAGTATCTGTTTACCGAACACAGACTATGTCAAATAATCTCACGAGTGATAGAAATGCACTGATTGTTGAATGTTGCGAATCAGTGGTCGATGAGGGAAACGTCTATGCCATGATTTAATCAGTGCTATTCAGTAACTTGTGTGTCGGCGGCTAAGCGGCTTAGACGCTCACCGACCATGCACATGGTTCGGGATTCGATCCCGGGCGACGCACTTCTTTACCTCTCTAAACCAGAAATAATGCTGGTAAAAAGGAAAGGTTGGGCATGAGACTAGCAATCCCATCCTGTTAAATTAAACACTGCTACAGAAACTTTAAACCACTAGCTTGAAGCCCTATGTTTCACTGGGGGACTTGTCAGATCAAAATATCCCATACAATCCTACAGGAGATCAGCTATCAGCCTGAACAGCTCAGTGGTAATGCCTCTGACCGCAACACTGGTTGACGCCGGTTCAAATCTTGAATGGGATATGAGTTCGTTCCAGATTGCAGATACCCTTTCAAGTAGGGCTTTGCGGCGATTGCCTCCAACCATCTAATATTCAGTTGGCGTATTATCAGTGAATGTAATTGGCATGTCTTTCTGTTATCAGATTATTAACAGTAATAATGATAATTACAGGATGAAAATGAAATTACTCTGTCATGTGAAACAAATACCATGCTCCTTTTTCTTGATTGACGAATATAACAAAATTCTTTATGTACTTCTATAAGTCTGACGCGTGGATATATAAATAACTTTTCTGCCTTAGGATTTGGATGGTCATGTTAGTATGGACTGTATTTTCAGCACTATTTGGCAGAGAAGAGGCTTCGAAAATGAGATTTCAAATGAACGTAGAGTAGGCAGAGATGATGAAACTCCCCTTGCTAACAAGAAACGCAAATCACCACGAACTGGAATGTAAAGGAGATCATCTCCCTCAATAGCCTAATCTGGGCAGCACAGTTTACATTTCCACTACAGGCGAAATGAATAAGGTTTTCAAAGCCAGACAAGATATCAGATGGACAGACTTTCATCACTCGTAAATCGATCAGGGCATCTACAATTCTCAGCAAACAGAACAAGATTCGAGTTTTTTTAATATGAACATGAAGTGAATTTTCCTATATGGTTCAGCGATTTGGTGAGCGTGTCACAAAAAGCAAGCTGCTCATCTTCGCTTGATACTGGAGGTCAAATGGCTAGTTGTGGAAGGCATAAGCAACAAGAAGCTTCGGAAGCCAGTCAACTAACCAAGAAGCTACTTGTTACTCAGAAAATATGAGCAAGGAAATGGAGGTGAACTGGAAGGAGACTGTTGAATGACATCATACACCACCAAGCGAGTGGAAACTGAGTGGTAGGGACGGTTTGGATATGCTCCAGAGGGTGACATAGGGAAGATCATGTTGAGAGGGAATGATAGCTTTTCGACAATAGTGGAGCCAGTTGATAGTGATGCCAAGAAAAAAAAACAGTAGAACAGAGATGATTTCATCAAGAAACAGTTTGAAAAAAAATAATTTTTCCTTCACGTTCCCAGTGGAACATAGGGCTCCACGCTAGTGGCTTGAAGTTTCTGTAGCAGTGTTTAATTTTTACAGGATGGGGTTGCTAGCCTCATGCCCAACCTTTCCTTTTTACCAGCATTATTTCTGGCTCAGTGAGGTAAAGGAGTGCGTCGGTGGCCGGGGATCGAACCCCGGACCATATGCATGGTCGGCGAGCGTGCTAACCGCTATACCACTGACGCACCCAGAAACAGCTTAAGGAGAAGAAATAATGAAAATCTAATGACTGATTAAGAGTGCTGTTTTTCCTTTGTAGATTTAGCTATTCCTTACAGCCTTCAACCAATAAGATTAACGCCTTGTTATTCAGTCTCTATTTACGTCAATTACATTGTCTGTAGACAGACTCACTTCCTTAATGTGGAGGAATTAGTGCTAGTCAAGATTTTATCAAGTCATGATAACAATTTCCTGATTTACACCAATACATGCTTACTTCTGCTTGTATTCAGCGATAATACGTCTGAAACTGTTAAAGATAACAGACGGAATTGTATATCACTGTTGGGAGAAGTTGAAAATGCATATATCTAATATAAAGCATCACATGCTGTGATAAGAACTTAAAGTCCCTAGGAAGTTGTGTATAGCTAACTAATAAGGAGACTGTTTACGTCATTTATTCTCTTAAAACTTATAAAATCAGTCACCCTCAGTCAACTAACTGTTTAATCACTTCTTTTGCGTCTGTTCTAAGCAGTTAGCAATGCTGATCAATCGCCTAAAAGAATATCAACAAGAGAAAATAATGAACATCACTGAAGATGTTCTCCAGGAAGACATAGGGAGCTTAGCAGCTTAGTTGTCTATGTCAGAGAGTGCAACAAGGCAGAAACGCTTTCATATATGCTACTAATCACTTCCACAATTTCATAGTTAGTCTATACACCGACCAAGTTCCCACACATTCTACGCATTGACAACTTGAAATTAATGTATAAGAAGGATTTGGACAGGTTTAATGGACACAACACACAGAGACACACACGGTGATGGTGTTGTAATAATAACTGCAAATTTGGAAAGACATGTGAACACCTTGTTATGATAATAAGCGGTGAACTATGGGCGAAAAGTCTCATACAATGTAACAATGCCCCTCTGTGTGTAAAAACTGAGTAGATAGTTAACGTGACTCTTGGCCCAGTGGAACATAGGGCTTCAAGCTGAGGGCTTGAAGTTTCGGTAGCACTGGAGTTTATTCTTACGAAATGGAGTTGCTATCCTCATATCTAACCTTACCTCTTTACCAGTCTTGTTACTGGTTTAGCGAGGTAAAGGAGTGAGTCGGCCGGGGATCGAACCTTGGACCACATGCGTGGTTGGCAAGCATTCTATCGCTGTGCCATCAACGCTATAGGTTGATTAGGTCGCTGTTATTCCTAAGCTCCTTAAGAGTTTCATATCAGCTTCTGATATATTCTTAACGTCAAGAGTTCAACTGCTGTTAACTAATGATCACTTGTGTTTCGCTCAGATTAATGACCAAAGAAACTTTACATATACTAAATGAGTCGAAATAACTTGAATCAGGATTCCTTTCTGATTTTCTTCCACCCTGATAATACAACAGACAGTTTCCGTCCAGATGAACATCCTTTTTCCTTAGCTTTCCGTTTACCTAATTACATGAATATTTGTGTACTTTACTGTTTGGTTTATGTCAGTCAGCTTTCTGTAGACTATTCAAGTTTCGAAATCTGTAAGACATACTTTAGTTAATTATGATGTTAAATAAGGCCAACTGGCTGGTTTTTCGTCGTCAATGTTGATTTCTGCTCTTTCAAGAACACTATTTAATGAACTCTCCTTTTTTCTATGCATATATATATGTATATATATGTTATTGAGTGGATAAAAACTTCTTTGATAGACCTGATACGACAGATTTGTCTCTAAAATAGTGTTGTTCTTTGTTTACTTACATTAGGCACCTACTTCAAGCGAAATTTACAACCTGCGTAACCTCACCGACTCCTTCATTTCGTCAACTCAACGGAGCCTTAAAGAAGTCGAACAGAATTGATGACGACAAAGATAACGTGTCTATCAAATCACCGAGTATCAAAGCATCAGCGGCAATGGAAGCAGTAAACAATTCAGACCGACTATTTCCATCTAAATGCTGTCCTTTATAACAATAATCGAACCAGTAAACTAACTAATTTTTACACCGATAACCTTAGAAACAGTCTCTTCAAAAATGAAGTGACTTGAAACAATAAAAAGTAGAAGCATAACCATGTATCATGAAAATGCATAATATTCCAGTCGAATCATTGTTTCATCGGAAAAAAAGAGATTCACATTCGCGACTGTTGTTTAGTTAAGATGTTCAACACAAACAACTTCGATACAACTGTCGCCTAACAACATTTAATATTATACATAGTTTAAACAGAATGCATATATATATATATATATATATATGTTTTTTTTTTCCATGCATAACTTATCCCCTAAAAATGTGGATTTATAACTCTGCCAGCTTTTACCATAACTAGTTATTTTCATTTTAGGAGATAAATCATTTTTATGCCACTTGGAGAAAGTCAATTTTCAAACTGTGCATTTATATATTGAATATTTTACCATTCAATATAACTTTAACAGCATTTTAATGCGTATTGTTTTCACCGAAAGAGATGTATTTCAGTTGTAGCTGACCATTTCATCGTCTAGCATGCAGCTGAGTGTTTCTTCTTGTTTTAACTTGAGCGTAGTTATTTATTATGAGCCATACCATAAATAGTCTCCAACCGTTGGATCTTACCGCTCTAATGACCCTCTCTATCTCTCTCTCTCTCTAGGTAGGTCATATCCTCGACATGAATTGATGTCATGCTCTCGTTTGATTCATCTACACCAAACTATACAAGTTGTTAATTCTTCAACTGATATTTCCATTTAGGTCGAAGATCGATCAGAGTGCCTAGCACAACTCTGTAAATGATGATTTCTCACAACTTAATAGATTGGCTTACCTTCCTTACTTAGTACTCTTATATGCTGTTTTACCAGCCAACCTACAGAACTCGCCAGTGGCCTTGAAGGCAAGCTGTTTCTTGGATTACAGAACCTGTAGTCATTAGATTCATGAAGTCATAACCTGTTGTTGGATGATAACAGATACTTGGAAGAAATTGAGACCCCTGAACTTTAGAATGCCGACTTAGTTGCTGTCTCAAGAATTGAATGTCAGGTCGACACCTAAAGAATAGCGACCATGGAGTGCGAACGCACCAGTGACGATGAATGCATACCTCTCGTTGGATTACAGAAGTCACCGTTATTACCATACCAGTGTAAATTCTGTGCAAGAATTGAGTTTCAATTTCATCTTGATCTAATTTTCAGTACTGTTTGAACAATTAGTTGATAACACATTAAGGTCAAGGTTAGGATTAAGGTGACGATTAGGGCTGAGGTTTATTATGATTATCTATATTTCTTGTGTAAATATGTAAGTCGAAGGAATGTTCACATCTTGATAGCTGTAAAATTTGAAAATTGATACCCTTCATTGCAATTGAGAAGTCTTTTTTTAGTTACTTCAAGGTAAAATATAAAAAAAGAAGCTTTCTGGTGTATAATACACAGAATGTTCTGTAATCCAACGAAAACAATCTGCGTTCAAGACCATTGGTGCGTTCGTGCTCTGTAGTGGCTGTTCTTTACGTTTACCGTTTTACCTAAATCAAGCGAATGACCAAATGTAATTGTGATCATCAACTTTCAGCGTTTTCATATCTTCTACTTACAAGCACATATCATACCTGGAAAGAGTAGAAGGCTAAACAGTGCGCTCACAGTGTAATCTGTTTTCTCGGAATGACGAATTTAGTTCGGTGAAGCTTTTACGAACCATTTACGTTTGGTTATCGTTTCTCTTCACTTATCGTTTTTGCATTAACCTGCATACACTGCTACGCTTTTATTATTACCATGACCACATGGATATTAAGCCATTTGCTTCATATTTATAAACATGATGTTTTCATATATGTTCTGGACGCCTAGTGTCTTCTGAGCTACACTTTTGTGCACACCTGGTTGGCTGAAAAAAAAGCTGTTCGATGAAGACACCAGTCTGCATATTTTGAAGTGTGTTTGAACTACGCAAATCTTACGTATCACGGTGATCTATTATTGTGGAATTTCATTTAAAATGACTACTATTCAGCGGTGTTTGACAGAAGCAACCGAAAGTCAGGTACATTTTCAGATGTTAAGCTTCAAGATCAAGTACTCAAATCATTCAGTTACCTGTTTTTCTGAGTATTTATCTGAGACATGAATTTTTTTTCTGAGTACAATAGTATGGTGGAAGATTTCTCCATGCTATTTAAACTGAATACTTAAATGTTAAGCCTGCGAAAGGGTGATTACATTCAACTCGGATTTCTTGATGAACTCACGTCAATTGAAGAATCCTTGAAAAATAAAAAGTGTTGTACTGCTATTTCATGCTAACTGTGAACTGAGCAGCCATGCGCACCCAGAACTTTCATGTTGTCAGTTGTGATGAATATGTTTTGAGCATTATTCAGCTGTTCCATAGGACTCTCTGTTGAAGAGCCTGTAACTGGGGTGAAACAGTTGTCCAGTGCCCTTTGGTTTCTTTGTCATGAACAAATGAGCGTAAAGTAGTTTTGCCAAAGGAATAGAATTACGTAGTGGCAAAAATATTGCAGATGATATGGGGAGAAAATAACTCTTTACTAAATTCTCCAGAAAATTCTAAACGTTTTATCAAATAACACATAGTGGGAAATGTTTAAGGATGCAATCGGAAAATTACAATATTGTTATTTGTCGTATTACCGCTAGCAGTTTTAATAGTAATATTAGTAGTATTAGTAGACCAGTGTGTTAGAGGTTGCATAAAAGACGAAGAAATTGGAATGATTGAAACAAAAGCTGGATGTATTTCTTTGGGATGCATGGTGTAGGCTTGAAATTTCGGATCGCTTGAACTTCAGCCATGCCCAGATACCTTGATTCTATTCCGCTTGGGAGGTTTGATCGAATCTTTTAAATAACTCTGAAGGACTTTTCAAATGGAACTTTATGTTCTGAGTCCACTAGATGTTCAGTTATTAAAATGTATACACACTTGCGTTCTCACTTCACTAGCCAGACTGGATAGCTTTCTCGAACGCGTTTTACAAGAGGACGCAGGCTACGGCCAGCGTGAAAGTTTGCTCCAAAACTATTTTATTTGTTAGATTCTTCTTGTTTTCGAAGAGTCTCCCGCCTCAAAAGTAGTGTTCCTAGAATAAATTTGTTATTAGCTACTCCACGAAAGATGACGTTCTACAGTAAAGCCTTTCCAATGTACATCCTAACATGTACATCAATATGGAATCCCAAATAGACAAGGAGTTTAATTTCTCCCCTAGATTTTAATGTCACAAACAGAAACGATAGTATAGTCCAAAAACAAGACAGAATCCTTATTATAACAGCCTTTGTCCTGTCAGCTATATACGTATGGATTAGTGAAAAGGTTGTACAACAATCAGAAAGCTGTGTTCAGCCAGTAAACTGAAAGAGGAAGAGGACCTTGTGAGAAATACCTAAGAGATAGCGGATAGCGGGATTTATTGTGAAGATCAGGAAAACGAAACACTCAACTCTATGCAAAAGGTTAAGCAGTATTTCAAAGGATTGATAAAAGGACAGAAGAAGCAGTGAGAGAATGTTTCCATGCAGCTACGTTCGCTAAGTCCTTACGCAACAACACGTATAATAGCAGACAACTGCACTCATAAATTTATAAGCACTTACGATAGCAAGTACATCGGTAGGACAAAAAGTGGACTTCGATGCCGTTTTTTGAGCATATTTCAAGAAATATGTATTTAAAGTGAAATCATCGGATACTTTGGGAATACATGATACTTTGTTGAGATTAGAGAATTGTTCAAAAAGTTAAATGTGCAGCAGTCATCATAATTACTACGATTGAAATCAAGCGCTTGCAACCAATTTTATGCTTACGAAAGCAGAATGTAGTCAATTTCTCACTTCCTTTGTAGATTCACTTTCATTTTGCTTACATTGACTGATTGTACAATTATGCATACTGGGGTGTATTCAGCTCATGCAACTAACTGATATCCTATGAACTATAATTTTCTTTTAACCCTATAGGTTAACGCTGTTTGTATTTCTTTCCATTTTCACCTCCCTTTTTTGTTTTCCACTATGAATTGCATATAAATTGATGATAAGTGTTGCTTACACTCTCGATAAATTTATTGATAGTATTTTCTCCACTACCATTCAAGTATGTCATTCTCATCCTCTTGAAACCATTGCAATCTCAGGTGGTCTACAACTGATGCGAACCTGAGAAGTGAAATGATGTCATTTTATACTGCAAAATATGATCTAACCTGCTTTATCAAGATATATAATAAATCTTTGAAATTATACTTTCATCCGTTGACTACTGTTCATAGAATGACAGCGGACAGTAGACAGTCAGCCGTGAGACGAAGGAAAATTAAAAAAAAGAACGAATCTCTCACTGTCTGACTGTCGTTTCGTACTTTATTGCGCATTTTTAAAGGTTGATAATGACTTTACCTCTTTTTTTTAAAACATGAGCGATAATAAATAAAACATTTTCAAGGAGTATATTTCTAAGCATTCATGGAAACCTTATTTTGGACAAGTACATATAAACATATGCAGGTATATGGGTAAATTAGATGTGAAAATCCTACCATTTTGAATGAGGTTTATAAAGACTAAAACTAATTTTCTTAACTCAACATTAATACTAGAGGTAGAACTAATAGTCTTCTCAGATTTGCTGAAGCTATAGCAATAAAACGATTGAAGCCTGACTTATGTGTCCAAAAAGAATCCTTTGTTCGACTACAATTACCCCGATGACTCAATTCTTAGTAACTCTTTGTTTTCTAATTTTGTTAACTTATCTTTTCACTCGCCCCCCCACCCCGTTATTTTTCGCTTGGTTGTCTTAAGAGATAATTTTTTCAATAATTAAACAGTGTCAAAATGTCAATGGGGTGATAATAAACGAGAAAAATCAATACACACCTTTAAAAGGTAGAAATGGTTAGAATAAATTAATTTTTCAAGGATAACACGTAAATTAAAGATGAAGTGGTCAGAAAAAGTGAAATAATTTGGACAATTATAATTTTTATAGGTCTAGGGGGAGCGGGGGGGGCGAAGTAGTCCTTTTTTATGCATTCTTCTAACTATGACCACGGTAAGGAAAGTGGCTGTACAAATTTCTTCTGAACACATAGGCTTGGCTTCTTCAGGTGAATTCCGATCGCTTCAGCTCTCTGTAAAAGACGATTTTTTTTCTTGATCTTCCGAGTTCTGCTCACTGTATTACATCATCAGCGTCTCATATGCACCGAAATTTTGATCTTGTCTTTTCTAA